CCACTGGGTCCAGGCTACACCTCCTCCCAGCCTATCCACCAGACTCTATCACTCCCCAACCCACTTCCCACTGGGCCCCAAACTCTCCCATGGCATCTATCTGCCCACAAACAGACCCACCCCCTAGCTCCCCAGCCTCCAGCCCACCTGCTGAATGTAGTTGACAAACTTGCACATGAAGTCACCCAGCACCCAGGCAGGCAGTGGGTAGAGTAGGGCAGTGAAGGGAACACAGCAGAGTAGGAAGGTCATGTCCGTGGCTGCCAGGTTGGCTGCAGGCAGGAGATGTGCGGCTCTGGACGTGGGGTGCCGGCCCTCATCCACCCAACACTTCTGGCCCAGCTCCCTAGCACTCACCTTTGTCTGAGTGATCAGCAGGACAGCTCCAGAAGGCTCCCTACCTCCTCCAGTCTTCCCCTTTTACATTTCGAACATCCCCCTACACTGGCTTCACAGCTATTCAAGCTTCAGTGGGCCTTGCTCACCCCTGCCTAGGCTGGGAGAGCCTGAGCAGGCCCCTGTCCCCCTGAGCCTCAGTTCCCTTGTCTGAAAATTGGAGACAGTGGTGCTCACCCAACATCCACCACAGAATGGAGAACGCTAACTGAGCACTCACCTGTGGTGGGCCACCCCATCACACAAGTGTGCAAACTGAGCCACTGTAGGAGAAGTTGCAAACTGGGATCCTATGGACCAAGCAGTCCCGCCCCCTATTGCTTTTCTTCATCAGATACTGTGTCATAAGAATCACATTTCAATTGGACATCTTCCTCCAGTGGCAGGGGCGAGCTCTCCAACCTCCCTTTTAACTGCTGCGCCAGCATGAACCCTCCAATGCCAGAGTTTTGACCTCTAACCTAAGGTATGTGGACAATAGAGGAAAGACTGGAGACCTGCAGGGGAGAGACTCCTCTCTGGGAGGGCTCGGTGGCACCGCTAGGGGTCAGCGGGCCACTCGGCCCTTGTGGCGACCCCAGGAATGGCAGATGGGGGAATGGCAGGTGGGGGAATGGCAGATGGGCACCGCGGGGGGCCGGGGTGCTCACCTATGTAGAAGTTGGTCACCGTGCGCATCTGTCTGTGGCGGCAGATGACGAAAATGACAAGCGAGTTCCCTGTCAGGCCCAGCAGCATTAGCGCGCCGAAGAAGAGCGGCACGAGCCAGGCGTCCACGGACCACGTCGCAGGGGCGAGGCCGTCCGAGGCGTTGGCGCCACAGCCTGCACAGCGCGAGGCGTTGGCCAGCGCCCACCAGGACGCGTTGGGCTCAGACCTGGGAAGGGCGCGCATGACTTTGCCGCCCTCTTCCTACCGATCACTCTCCGGGGTTGCGCCGGGGATGGCAGCGGAGACCCTCTTCCAGGCTGCCTGGGGCCGGAAGGGTCTCTGCTGGAAGCCACCTGGTTTGGAGGGCGGCTCCACTGGCCTAAGCCGCGCCTCTGCTTGTACTGCAGCCGCCTGGCATTTATACCCAACCTCCCCGCCCCCTTGTCCCCACCTTCCTGCCTCTGCTGCAGTCAGTCGCCACTCCTTCCCCTGCCTGTGGCCCTTTGTCCATCCACACAGCAACTTTTTCCCCATTCTCACCTCCCCCTGAACTGTCAGGGTGAGAGCGCTGGAGAAGACCCACTGGAGGGGAGGTTGGGGCAGAGTGGGGATGGCGTGGGGTAGGCTGTGTGGAGGCTACTATGCACCCTGAAAGGACCCACCCTGACCAGGGGATAGAGTCTCACTGCCCAGCGTCTGTCGGTCGGTTAGAAGATGCCTGTTCTTTAAAGAAGTCAGTATCACCCGGCTGGCATGACTCAGCGGTTGAGCATCAACCTCAGTACAGGAGATCTCGGTTGGATCCCCAGTCCAGGCGAGGCAGCCGATCAATGACAATACTCTCCCATCATTGTCATTGATGTTTCTTTCTCTCTCTCTCTCTTTGGACTTGGGTTGCTGCAAATCAGACCTCTTGGGAGTGTCCACTTCCCAGCTCATGGCCAGCCATTGGCAGACACCTGCACTGCTGGTGGACACCTGTGCTGCTGGTGGCAGGGACCAGGTGGTAGGCAATTTACAAAGGACACAGTTGATCCTGAAAACCTACACCTAGAAATGGACCCCAGAGACTAGCCCATGTACCAGGATGGTCGTCGTTGTGGAATACTATGCAGCAGAGAAAAAGATGCTACCACATGTATAAAAAGGCTAAAATGGGAGGGGAGAGAAATGAATAGATATGCACAGGCATCAAAGCACATCACCTCTCTCCAGGGGGGAGTACAAAGAGCCAGGGGAAGGGGAACATTTCCTTGTTCACCCTTTTTATACCTTAAAGTTATTCTCCACAAATCAGAATAAAAATCAGAAAGGGGAAGGTTAAGTGGAGATAAAGGAACTATTTTGGGGAAGCTGCTGAGGTGAATGGACCTGAGGGAGCACTCAGCAAGTGGCTGGACCTTCGAGGGGGGGGGATTTGGGGAGCAGCAGCAGCTCACTGACAGGCCGAGGGTCCAGGAGATTTGAAGAAGGTGCAGTCCAGGTTCCCTGGGAGTCAGGCCCCCGTCAGGTCAAGGCTCAGGCTGTATACTCTAGATTTGGCACATTTATTGAACAGCTACTCATCATGGGCCAGAGCAGGAGAGCAAACATTTGTGGGCCCCAGAACCCCCTTCTCACTTCTCCCTTCTCTCCTAACATGTACCACCATTAATTTCTTTTGCATCTTTATCTGTATGAAGTTACACAGTATGAGTACTTTGGAGTCTTTTCATTGTTCCTCCTCCTTTGGTTTTCTTTTTCCCCTTGCTCTTTAAAAAAAAAATTTTTTTTCCCATCACCATTTATCCCTTCTATGCTCACTTCCACCTCCACACTCACTCCCATCCCTGCAATCTCCCCCCTTGCTCTTTATTTGTTAAGATAATTGAGTTATTTGTGGTGTACAGTTTGCACCTGGCTGAATCTGGTGGGTTGGATCCCTGTGGTGTAGACTGAAGGATGGAGTCTAGATTCTAGAGCAGTTTTAATTCTGTGCTCTAAGCCCTCCCATGACTCCCCATTGCCCTCTGGACCAAAACCAGATCTGTCACCAGAGGGCCACCAGGCTCAGGGGCCTGCCCCCTCCCCTCCACCTCTCTCTCTCTGCTCTGGCCACTCTAGATGCATTGGCTATTTGTTCCCTCTGCCTGGCACACAGCTCCTGCTTTCGCAGCTTGCCAGTCCCCTACTCAGAGACTCCTCTTCCCCTCCCTGCTGGGTGAGGGAGGAATCTGTCTTGGTCACTGCTGGGTCCACAGAGCCCAGAAGTGGCCCCATGTAATAGGAGGCATCCTAAAAGGCAAAAGTGGTGGGTGCTGATGCCCTAATTTTTTGTTTTTTTTGTTTTTTAGTCCTCACCAGAGGATACGCTTGTTTTTTTAAATAAGTTTTTATTGATTTCAGAGAGAGGAAGGGAGAGGGAGAGAGAGATAGAAACATCAACGATGAGCGTCGTTTATTTGCTGCCTCCTGCACGCCCCCTACTGGGGATCAAGCCCCCAACCCAGGATGTGCCCTGACCGGAACTGAACCCTTATCTCCTGGTTCACAGGTCGACGCTCAACCACTGAGCCACCCCAGCTAGGCTGAGGATATGTGTGTTTTTCAACTGAGTTTTTTAGAGAGAGGAAGTGAGAGAGAGAGAGACAGAGAGAAGGATCCATCAGTTGCTTTAGCCTGACGGTGGGACTGAACCCTCAACCTAGGTATGTGCCCTGACCGAACCCACCACCTTTCGGGTACTGGACCCCGCTCCAACCAACTGAGCCACAGGGCCAGGGCCTGACATCCTAATTTTAGAGGTGAGTAAACTGAGGCACCCAGCTGGTGCTCCAGGGGCTACACTTTAATGAACGACTGGGAGGGAGCTGGTGGAAGAAAAGGCGCCGTGGCTGCTTGGGGAGGCGGGGAGTATGGGTCACTTCATTCGTCCACTGCCTCCGAAAAGGACATCCCCGTCCCTCCCCTTTACTCCTCAGTTTCCCATTCCCCCGGCTGGGTGCTCGCCCATGCCCACAGCCTGGGTTTGCGGGCGCCGACCCCCGACCCCCACCGCATTTTCTCAGTTCCCCAGCCTGCCCCCCGGGGCCGGCAGCTCCCTCCGGCCGCAGCCCGGGGTCGGGCCGCCTTCCTGGCAGCGGTCCCCGCCCCGCGCCGCCAGCCTCCAAGATCCGCCCCGGCC